TGTGCAGTCAGTGGTGAATCTTCAGGGGATATGTCGAGATGAGAGTCCATCTCGCGTGCACTGATGTGGCCCGGAAACATGTAGAATTGTTACGAGGATCCAAGGGCCAGTGAAAGCACAAGCCATGCTAGACTACCAGAGCTGGAGATGAACCTTGCGACCATGCAGATTATCCAAGGCATGGCTGCCTAGGTGCCGGTGTCTCAGCGAGCATAGAACCTGGAACCTCTGATGCTCCACGCCCCATGGAAAACAAACCAAGATCGGGCGGTCCCATGAAATGCCGGCAAAGAAGACCTCAAGCTCTGAACTGCCCCCAGGCAATCCCCATGCAATCCTGAACAATCTAATCGAAAGACGGACCCTCAAATGCCTCCCGAAAGAGCTTCGCAAGAGACTCCAGCACACCGCCCGGCAGCTGCGCAGCTGCCTGTGGATTCTTATTTCGTGAGCCTCACAAATTTGGGGCGTACCTTTTTCGTGTGGGACTGGCTTGTTGCTAGGCAATTGCTCTCGGCTGTTGTCTTGGCTGGTGTCTTGAGATGCCTCCATCATATGGATGCTCCCTGGCATTGAAACCATAGCCCTGCCCATGCCTGCCTGAACGGTCACAGCTCGCCACCATGTTCTGTGCTCTCTGTCGTGGTCCTGGGCTACTGCTTGTCTGGGCTGAACGGTCAATATCAGACTGTCAGGCCTGGATACATATCATTAATCATAAATCAAGCTGTGGCTCCACGACTGGTGAAATCATGATCTTCAAGCTCTCCTGTCAAGATTATCCCGCAACAAAATCTGCGGGCGGAGCATCTTCCAAGCTTTGTCATCCCGTCCGTGCAGTTGCAGTGCAAATAGGACCAGCTTTGGGCTTTCGGAGTGTCACGAGAACAGCAGAGCCTTCCCTCACCTACCCCAAGGTCAAACAAAAGTCTCCCCCAACACAGAGCACCCCACGAAGACTTTGTCTTTTAACCAGATTAAATGTCTTTGTTCAAACACTTTCCAAACCGCGATTCAGCCGAAAACGTCGCGGAGTCTCAAATTCGAAAACTGACGTCCCTCACAATGCTTCCTGAAAAAGCAGGTGTGCACGTCAATCGAAGGCAGGACTGACATGCCAATCCAGGTCATGGGAGCCGTACTGTGACGACCACAATAATCTGTGAGCAAATATGTGCAAATGTGAGCATTGCTTTGCGTAGCCCCCCGGCCTGCTTCGAATGTGCCTGGCTTTCAAGCGGAGTGCTACCTGGTGCAGGTGGAGAGTATTTGAGAGTAATTATGCCATGAAGAATGCGTCGCTTCATGTCGCGTCTACAGGGAATGTCAACAATCGTGATTTTTTGCGGCGCAAAGCCCTGGACTATCGCACCTCCCCGCGCCAGCCAGGAAAGGCGCAAGCAGTCCTGCGCGGAGATAGACTGATAAGAATAGACTTGAGGACCGCAGGGCTCTGGTGATTCCCAGGCTTCATTGTCAGGGCCTGCAGCTAAGCAGCAGATTCCACTTGCGAGGTTTCTGGACACCTGACAGGCCCCCTACTTGCTGTTGCCGTCTGGCAGGTCCTTGGCTGTTGGCCGCCCGTCCTCCTCGAAGCACAACCTGAAATACTCCAAAGATCAGGCTGGGCATGCACTTCACCAATTTACTAGTGGGCGACAGAGGCGCAACACCAAGATAGACAGCAAGATAGAAGAAGAGTGCAAACAGCTGCAGAATCATCGAACCATCGCACACTCGGTCAAGAGGCATTCTGCTTATCAGGTCCTTTACCGCATGGCTGGCGTTGAGCCGCCGCATGTTTGGACCAGCCCGCTGCTGCTGCAAGAGCGCCTCACTAGCACCAAATATAGTCCCCCCTAAGTAGATAGAATAGGGGGTATATGGGGATCCTATGAAAATATACCTAAAGCCATATTCTATCTACTCTGGGGGGACTATAACCTCTAAACTTCAAGTTCGGAACAGCTTGAAAGGGCACTTCAGTGGAAGGAGCTCCCACTTAGTGGACAAACTTCCAGATGACCAGCTGTAGAGGCCTGCGCTATGAGACCAGCATCTTGATGGAGGGACGGTAGGTGGAAAATCTTGACACGTGTCAGAGAGTACACCGCCTATGGGCAGTTGTCGAAACCGTAGTCTTTTGGTGGGGAACTCAAAATCGGGAATTGCTCAAGCAGAGCCGCTTCGACACCGAGCCGGTCGCGCCTTGGATTTCGCATGCGACATGTCAAATGGAAGTGACTTTAGGGTAGCTGATGAAATCATGGGCGTCTGCGGAGCGTCAGTGTAGCATGGTTCCTCTTTGACCCGCTTCCGAACACAAGTTGGAGAAACCGAATTTTGAACTGCATGTGCCCCGTCAGGAGCTGAGTGTTACACCACTTCAAAACCGCTGGATCTGCCGAGAACTTGCCTCAAATCAGGCTCCCGGATTGAGACCTGTGCTTTTTCAAGGTCCTACTGGGGATGGAGGAAGTCTTGCACCAACTGATATTATGCCACGTACCCCACTAATCACATCATTCAGGGGATCTTAAGTGGTGCAAGATATCCTACATCTACTGTAGGGCATTGCCACAACCTTCTGCAGGCCAGATGCTCTGTCGGCTGGGGCGTGAAAGGGTAGGGATAGAGCGCATCTTTGCCGTCCTCGGTAACCAGCAAGTCAACATGATGGCATTGCGAAAGAACATGCAGATGGGATTTTGCCGCAATTCGTTATTTCAAAGGCAAAAGCACAGGGCCTGGGAAATAGGGCAACCAACCTAGGGACCCGAACCCAAAAATCGGGCATGACATTGATCATGGAAAGTGCCTGAGCAGGTCAAGTGCTAACCAGCGCAGGATCCAAAATCAAAATTCAATGCTTCCAACAGATTACATGTGCATGCTGGCTCCTTGTTGGTATAGTCAGGACGTCTGGGAGCATCATCACTATTGCTACGTTTGCTTTTTTGCTTTGCTTACTTCTCTTGTGCGAAAAGATGGCATAAGGCGTCTGGGGCGTTATCACTATTGCTTGCTTAATCTGCTTCTCTAGTACCAAGTAACGTGATAAGGAAGCAGCAGCAGTCTCATGATTTCATTTCGAGATGGGGCTCCTTCATCAAGGGCGCCACGGGGCCTACTGGTGGGTCTCTAGCCAATGGGTGCCCGTGCACGCGTCAAACAAGATTTTAACCAAGCCACAGGCCCGGGCATGTAGGTCGGCTGCGTGTTAAAGACCTTAGACAAACCATCACCAGCCGCAGAAGTGCAAGTGTACTTCAGAATGGCCATGACATGACGTTCTGGCTAGGATCAGCACGACAGAGCTGAGATAGGAGTGGCTGATCAGATGTTCATTTTTTCGGACAGCAGAAAGACTACTAAATATCAATCATCACTTGCGACCTGGTCAGCTCCCTCCCAGCCCGAATTCACTATCTCCACTTTTGCACCCTCAGCCCCTTCTCCACCACTACGCCTGCAACATGCCCCAAGCCTTTCTGTTTTGTTGGCTGCGGCCGAAGGGCAGCATAGAGCATGCAGCCCAGGCTCCACACGTCACACTTGTAACAGAAATCACCTGCTTGCTTGTGCTCATGGCGTCTCCCCATGTATTGCTTAGCACGAAATCTGGGGATATCCGGACAACTCTGAGGATCAATTCCGGCATCCCCTGCTGAGCATCACGCAGGTACAGGCCATGACTCCTTCCTAAGAATCAATACAGATACTGGGTTCTAGTATAGTACTTGTAACCAGTTGTAACAGCAACAGTGCTCATTTTCAAGCACGGCAGCGCCAGTTCAGGCCTTCAATCACCTCCGGCGCTATCGTCGCCAGCGATCCGCTACGGACGCTGGACCGCATGCCCTGTGCTGAGAGAAGGCCAACAGAGTTTCGGGTTTGGGTGGACAAAGGGTTTATTCAGAATTCATAGATCCAATGGCAAGATGCTCGAAAACAAGAGCAGTACCAGCAGTAAGCCTAGCTTTGCCGATATCTTGAACAACAATGCCAAAGGAAACGTTGACACTACCAATGGTGATGATAGTTACCGACCTGATCTATTTGAATAGCTGCTGGTCTCGCAAGTTAAGGGTCAGCGCAGGAAATCGATCACAACATTCATCCAGCTACCCATGCACTCTAAACCCAATGTGCCTTAACATATGACATAGCAGCCTTACGCAAGCAGGCCTCAGTCACCCCAGTCTAGGACGGAAAAACACCAAGTGCAGCTGCGCGTCCTTTCCATGACTGGGGCCGAAGAGCCTGGAAGAAACTGCAATCATGTGTCAAAGTTGTCTGGCTTTTGAAGCCCCTTTGGGCTAATTTTGCGAAAGAAGCCTTGAGTCTGAAGCAAGTTGTGCACATGACAAGAATTTTGTCCACCTTCTATCCACGCACAATACACGTTGCTCATCGGTGGCATGCCCAGAAATTCAGAAGGTCCTGAAAATTCTGTGTCATCCCCCTACTACTGCGAAGGCGCTCAGCAAGACCCACGTCGATGAGCACAATGTTCACGTCTTCCAAGCCTTGGACGCTGGCAAAAGGAGAGCGGCTGCCTGGGAGTATAAACACTTAGATGCGATGTAGGGACCTTTTTTGCGATGTAGGAACTAAAACCATCAAATCATCAAATCGGAGGGCGGGTACATTGCAATTACATATTCAGGATTGTTAGGGAATATTCCGCTCATGGTTCAGGCCTCTGAGTTAATGCCTGAAAGCATAAGAGGGCTGTTCCAGGCCCATGTACCCTATACGCTAAACTGTAGCCTAGTAGCCTTGTAGGTTCCCATTTTCAAGGGTTAGCATCCCATCCGCCCGTAGCCCCCAAGCTAACTCGGAAGTTGCAATGGCGAAGCCAAAATTTGTGGCAAGGAGCGAGATCTGGCGGTGATTTTATTCCTTAAAGACGCAGCTGGACGGCTTTTGAGGGATTCAACTTCAAGTAAGGAAGTTGGGTTCCCCTGATAAATCATAGGGTTTCGTGCCGATGTTTGTCACATGCCACTTCTCAGCCCAAGAGAGCCAAGAGGCTGCAGCAGGAGATTCTCGAACTTCAGATCCTGCCAACATGAATGGTCCACGCTGGCCAATGCAAGCATGCCCTTATGTCAGGGCAAAAGGAAGAAGGGCAATAGCACCGGCGCAGCTCCTTGTGCATGACGCCCTTCCCATGGCAGTAGCTAATGGCTTCCGTTGCCTGTCCGAAGCGTCCACTCAGGAATTTGGCAACTCTCGCCGTCAGCTACAGTGCGTCAACCATGCCAAGACAACCAAGTCCATCCAAACCCTGATGCTTGCTGCCTGCGTGAAGATCCGGCGGATCCACTCCTGCAAAAGCCCAGAGGCCACAGCCAGCCAGTCGTAATTACACGCCTGTTGACTGTTCTCTGACAGCTCCCTGGCCCACCCCTCACTCATACCTCTTGTAGGCATTGCAAAACTACCACTGCTGCATTCTAAAATTCTACTTGCTGCACCCGGAGGGCACCGAAAAGCTTCGTTTGCCAGCCGTCAGAAGATTTCAGGGCTTCCTTGCTGGATTGACCGCTCAAAGGTGCCTCAACCCTGCTGGTATCGATTTACCGCGAAAAAGCCACACCCCAACTAATCAACTAATCCCTCAACATTTTCTGGGCTCCTTTTCAAAGATCCCCATGGCACTCCCACCAGGCCCTGAGGTAAAACCCAGGTTTCCCTGAGAACTCTCATACTGTCTCTCTCTCTCTCTCTCTCGCGGACTCAGCTGCCTGGCAGCGGCAGTGGCACGCTCACGCACAAGCTCTGTTCAGCGCGAGAACTCTATATACTAGAAACACCAAAAAGATCCACCAGAGCCCAAACGTACTCTTCCCATGACATGGCCTCAGGAATCAGCTGGTTCTGCTCCTGGCTGGCCTCTCATCAAGCTGAATAATCAATGGTTTATGGTTTAGGGTTTGGGGCGTTTAAGGCCAGTAGCTATAATAGCTTTGGCGGCTCACAGGCAAGGATGATGACAAAAACCTGCAAACAACAATAAGGCTTAGCTGGTCAGCTGCGAACGGCGAAGCACGCAAGACGCAAGACATTGTGCAAATCAACTGGAAGCCGTGATGCAGGTTGCCTGACACAGAGACTTGCAGCGCATGTGATGCGGGCCTTGACCAAGTCAAAGAGCTCCCCACCATCACAGACGTCAGTGATTATGTACACGTTCTCGGTGTCTGCATACCACTCCTTCAGCATTGGAGCAGCGGGTGAATGTTGGATGCAATTTGCTCTTCCCCGGACGAGGTTGTGGCCGGTGGCCGTGGCCAGTTACCATTAGTGCATTGTCTATTGCATGATGGCTTTGGGGCTGGAGTGTCGGGCAACCGGTTGATATGCGTGTCAATATTTGCGTTCCCAACGCGACTTCTGCTTGCACGACACCATACAAGAGATTGAGCCAATCCAGCAATTTGGCAATGGCCGCCAAAACTGGCAAAAACCACTACATATCCAAAAGCAGAGAACCCGCTGAAGTTGTCCAAGTGACGTAGAGACGAACAATCCGGGGATGGTCCAGCATAGCCAGGAGTTGGATCTCTCGATCCAGGCAGGAAAGAGGTGTGTTACTTTCTTCAAGCTTCATCTTGTTCACGGTCTTCATCACCTTGTTGCCAAAGGAATCCCAACTGAAAAGTCTCTCAAGGCTTCCCCAGTTATCTGAGGCCCCCCACCCGTCTGATGCCCGTGGCCTTTTGAGTGACACCTTGGCTGCAGCAAGCCATTCCGTGTGAATGCAATGCTTGTGGAAGGCTGCAGAAACTTGAAGACTCCGCATTATATGCTGCGTAACAAGGTAGTCCCTTCCAGACACACAAAGAATGACAGTCTCCTCAATGGAAAAGACTTCCATGTTACAACACGATCCATGAAAGGCCCCAAACTCGGAACTCATTTTGGAAGTAAGCTATCAAACTTCTGCCTGAGCGTCTGTGAACAATACCGAAGCTGCCAGAACCTGCTGGCGCCGTGCGTGGAAGCATGCAATTGGGTATAATACTGGAAAATGAAATGGGAACTACCCCATACGGGGATCATACAGGGCAATTTCCCTGATAGTGGAAAATGAAATGGCAAGAACATGGACATGAAATTGAATCTAGGCCTAGGTTCATAAAGGGGTGTGCAGGGGTCCCGGGGCGCGGAGGACCCTCAATTACGAGACATGCCCCAAATCCTACAGGACCCTCAGTATGATTCAGGGGATATTCCTTGATTGCCTACTTGTTAATGCCTCCTGGAGACTGACTAGGCAGACGTCATGTAGAAAAAGCATCATAAAGCAACTAAAGCAAGGAATAAAACGCGGCAATGTGTGTGAAGTCCTGAAGATGTACTGCGTACGGAGGAGTGACCAAACATACCTGTGAATGACTGCACATGTGAGAAGATTAACAAAGTCGCAAACGGAATCGGGAAGCCTTCACACCATGGTCCGGAAGATGCACTCGACAGGTGTACAGGCTCTAAATCAGTCAACTGCTTCTTCGAACTCCTATACGTGTTGCTGAAAAAGGGGCGGCCCTTATTGGGACCCTCTGGAAATGACACATGAATGAGTGCCCGCCATTGAGGGTTCCATCACAGTACTTTTCAGAAACCGCCCATAGCTGTATTGCCTAGCATGCCGCCGAAGTCGTAGAACTGGGCCGGCACCTTGGGCTTTTCTGGCTTGAAGGTTTCCAAAACTACAGGGGTTCTGTACATGCTTCCCACAATAGGAATTGACAGTTTAAGGCATGTAAGGGGGACCCCGTTTTTGGAAATGCCCACGCGGCCCTATTCTACAGGCTCCATTTGTGTGAGATATCCTCCAAGAAATGTGTGGTTTTTGAGTCCGAGCAGCCCCATTCTTGGCTCCTCGAAGCATACTGCTGCGCCCAAACTTCGGCGGCTTTAGATCCTCAGATGATCAGCCCTAGCAAACCACAAGAGAGCCAGATGAAGCCTGCCGGATGGCCGGACCGGACGTCCTGACGCCAAAGCAGACAGTGCCTCTTTGCGCCTTCGCACCCTCCTCCTACCATAGCATAAAGTATCCTCTTGGGAGCACGCAGCTCCAAGTTGAGGCAAGCTTCTTCGTACCTCCGGTGTAGCGTCCACCTGCGCCCGCAGCAAACATCGTGCAACAAGAAAAGAGGCTGTCGATCTGGCAGCAGTAAGTCGAGCTGCAAGACATGAGTCTTGAGGCTGCTAAGCTGCTAATAGAGACTTTCAAGTCATTAGTCGTTGGAGTATGCCCTTGGCCTGTACAGCTCCAAGAACTCTGCTTGGTTGAGGCAGCCATCCCCAGAGCGATCGAACTTTCGCATGCGGTTGCGCACCTCACTCTGGAATCCAGAAGCAGATCCGCAGGGTCTTGTTTGCAAGGTTTCGGTTTGGGCGTGTTTTTGCGAGTGGCTCCCTTCGAGAAGTACCTTACGCTTCCGATTCCTCTGGCTACATGCCCGAAGCATGCATTCCTGTAGGCCAGGTCGTACAAGAACCACATCCATCAGCAAGCTTTTAGACACAGCGACATGCCGTCAAGACATCGCACAGTCAAAGCCATATTACCCTATGGGGTTATCCTAAAGATAAGTACTGTCCCGAATTCTGAGGCCCTAAGCCAAACCCTAAACCCAAGACCCTAAGCCTGCCATGTTAACCAGGCCAAGGGGGCCAGTTTTTGATGCGTTGCCGTGTCATTGACCAAAGACAGTCCAAGCTCCTGCCATGCAATGCGGGTCCTTTACAGCTGGACTAGGGTTTCAGGCAGGTACTTTTGCATACTCTTGCAACTGCTCCACAACATCGAAGAGGCCATGCTCTGAATTTTGCAAGGCTGCACATGAACTCAAAATGATGCTTTGTATTGGGTTTGGCAGCGAATCCAACATATTAGCTGCTGTTGCAAGGCAGGAGCCCTTTTTCATGTCTGCATGGGATTCCCGGTATGTCCGGACTAGTGGCTTCTATGGAATAGGGAAAATAATCCCTATATAGCCCTATAATTATAAGATGTATTCTCATTTTCGCTACTAAGCCGCAGTAAGTGTCAGCAGGGACCCTCTGTGCCTGGTAGAGGACTGGTAGAAATTTGAGAAGCTCGTGGCAGCTGAGCCGCCCACAGCCTAGGTAATCACGGGAAGTGGGTGTAGCAGCGTAGCATCTCTTTGCCAGCGGGAGGCTATGGGGGAACAATAACCACCGACTTAGGGTTTTAGACACGCGCATCGCACAGTAGCGCCGGACGGCAAATGATGTCCTGTTCGAGGTTTAGGGTTTGGGGTCCTTTTGTATGGCAACAGAAGTGCGAACAGTCATTGCCAAATCAGCCTACAGAAAGTTGCGGTCGCATCTGCTTGGCTCAGGCCGTGTTTCGAACAGCAGGTGTGATGAGAAAGTAGCTGCGACATACTCACATCCTCGTCCAATCTGCTGTACACCCAAACCTGGATCTCCTAGGCCACAACCTCAAAACCCAAAACTCCCAACTGAGCGCAGGACCTGTCCTGTCAATGCGACGGAAAAGGCTGGATGCCAAATGCTCGGTAAGCCTCGCTCCATCGGCTCTCTTAAAAGGAAGTGCAGCCTGACAGATTAGGACCAAAATTTCCTGCCCAGCCCAACTCAGTGTCGGGGCGATGTTGTGAAGTAACCTTCTTAACCAGCTGTCATCTCACCTGCGATGCACTCAAAGACAGCCTTTGCTACGTTGCCCAGCAGAAGCCCGCCAGGCAGTGGAGGACTATGAATCCAAACCCCAAGCCCTGCATGATGTGCAGTAGCCCCAATGCCTCGGATTTTGGATCGCCAAAAAGAGCTGCCTCTCATCCTTCGCGGGAAGTTGGCAGTTTGGAGGTAAACGGGCTATACGGGAGTATATGGGGGTTTCATAGGGTTCAGGGTTTCAAGTGTGTCGTAATGGGGGGGAATGTAAAATCAAACCGACAACGACATGGAAACTGAAGGTTTATACGTGGATATTGGGGATGGTTCTACACTCTCCCTCCAACATGTCAATGCGTGAAGGACGAGAATGTTCAACTAGTCCCAGAAAAATTGCTTGGGGAGGGCCACCCCAAGACTACTTAACATTGACCGCCAGCGCTTTTGGCGCCTTCCATCAAAAAAGCTCGCTCTATTCCGTCGATATGGGGTTCAGGGCCATGGGGTCCGGTGTTTGGAGCATATCTTATAATATGTATCATATTCTGGGTGTATATGTGGGGCCCCAGGGTCCATCTTGATTGAGGCACCTACTTGCTCATCTGAAGTCAAAATACGGAAAAACTCTGGTTCAAGCTGTGGCTCCATGGTTGCATCTGAGCCAGTAGGAGAGCCAGAGGCTGAGGAGCCCTGATAGACTGGGCTCTGCTCAGGGCTCAGTGCAGGAAGCGGCGCCTGCTGAGCGTAGTGAGGCTGCTGAGGCTGTTGGTGTGCTAGTGGCTGGACTTGACATGCTGCAGGAGCAGGTGACTGCTGCCGCGCCAGCCTGTGCTGCTGCTGCTGCTGCCAAGCTTGCGGAAACGGGTGATGTTGCTGCTGCTGCTGCTGCTGCTGCTGCTGATGCTGCTGATGCTGCTGATGCTGCTGATGCTGCTGGTGCGGGTACTGCTGATGGTGCTGCTGCTGAGGTTGCAGTGGTTGCTGCTGATGCTGCAGCTGCTGCTGCTGCTGAGGCCGCTGCTGAGCTGGGTAGTGCGGCACTTGGCTAGGTCCGGCGCCCCGAGCGCCATGCGCTACAGGTACGCTGACCAAGCTGCGCCCTGGATATGGCTGGCCGTGACCTGCTTGAAAGTTGTGCGGCACACGCGGCGCATAGGCATGCTGTAGCATGGCTCACTGGGGCAGAAGCCCCAAGGCCTAAGATGTAGCTGGAAGAGCCAAAGCTGCAGTCATCGGCTGCATACTTTTTGCAGAAAGGAAGCTTACAATTACAACAATGGAGTTAACGAGTAGGTAGCTCAGCGCAACTAACTCTAGCTAAGTTGGCAGTCATCACTACTGCTCTGTTGCTATCCTGCCAAAAACTCCGACGGGTTGTGCCGGAAGCAGAACGCACATACAAACTCTCGTCGTCAACAACGCCACAATCAACTCAGTTCAGCAAGCGCCGATTGCTGGCAGGAGAGCTTTCTCGGTCTCAGGGCCAGGCGGTACGTGAACGGCAGCTGCGGCTGGGCCTTTAAGAGCGCCCTTACGGCAAATAGCCTGCCAGGTGACAGATTTCCGATCACGGGTGATGTTATGTTGCTGCTATGGAGAAGGGACTACCGCCCATAGCTTGAAGATCGCACAGGAAGGCTAGGAGGTCTAAGCACACCGGGTAAGGGTCTTGAAGAGCTACTCATACCAATCCCCCAAAAAGTTTGGACATAGGATACAGACTTAGCTAACACTGAAAGATGTCCAGTCTCTACCTAACCAGATTTGCTCTCTAAGTTGACCCTTAACCCTAAATATACTATCCTTATATCATCCGTAAACAGCTCCTACCGTATATCACCCTTACTTATATCACCCATATAACCCCTAACCCCCATTCTGGTTGGTGGACTTGAGCACATCATGCACAAAGCACGAAGGGACCCAGCCTCGATCACATCGCCAAGCGCACACAGCGACCTGAAAAAACCAGGGGGGATTAAAAAACAAAGGAAGTTTTAAAGGACTAAAAGCAAAGCGCTAACCGCATGAGCCATTGTCGAAGCTCCTTCGCATGGGGTGTATATGGAGGATTTCTGGGGTTTAGGGTTTCAGGGTTTAGGGTCTAAACTCCTTAAAGGGGGGGTATATAGGGGATTATATAGGGATAATGGAAAAGAAATTGAAGCTACTATTTAGGGTTTGAGGTCTAAACTCTTTAAGGGGGTTTGGTAGAACCCTTCATGCGTGTATCCTCTTGAGAGATACGGCCCCAGGCAGATTGAAGAATGCACATTGCTGCTTAATTTTGGAATCTTCATGCGCGTTCACAAATTTGACATCCGTGGCTGACTCGTCCTCCTCCTCCTTCCTCCTCCTCATCCTTCCTCCTTATCCTCCTCCTTCCCGCTGTGGCTGCCACTGCTGCTGTTGCTGCTACTTGTGCTGTTACTTTGCTCACATCACCTTTCCAAAGCAGCGGGGGCGGTCATGAGGCTGAGAGTTAGTTACATCGCATACACGACTTACACGATGGCAGTCCCCGTCAACTACGTTGCTGCAACAACTGATATCCTGCCTGTTGATGTGCTGTGCCTCCTTCAAGCGCTCGCCCACTGCCCCAGATCTCTCCAGGCCTGGGTCTTGGATTGCATGGAGAAGATCCAGAGTTGTCGCTGTAATTCTGTGATTGGAACTAATGGAAGCAGCTTGAACTTGAAGGAAAAAACCCTACTGGGCCAAGAGCCCTGCGCAGTAAGTTGTAAGTTATCCATAACCCAATATACTACAGCAGTTTCCATGTTCTTTTCCATTATGCCTATGTAATTCCTAGCAAAGTCCCTTATCCCCATATTATGCGTTATATCCCTAAACCCCAACCTTTACCCTAATTATCCCGCCCGTTTCTGGCATCCTCTGGGCCTCGAGCGCTCCGAGCCGGCCAGGTCCACGAAGGACAGAAGTCCTGACCTCAGGGACTTAGGAGGGACTGGGGAATGGATCCCTATAGGGTTTAGGGGTTTAGAGTTTAGGGGGCAATGGATCCCTATAGTAGTCCCAATATAATCCCCAATTATAATCCCATAATCCCCAATAATAATCCCTATAAGCCATTCCCCCATTCCCTCCCAAGGACCAGGCAGTCAAGTCGGCTACTGCGCTACGTCCCGTCATGCAGAGCTACTTCCAGCCATTTCAGAGAATGACATAAACACAGCAAGCTTAGGTACAGGGACTCAAAGTCCTCCAGCAAGAAATATCAGCAACTCTACTGAGAGAACTTCTCTAGTTGCCTGTTGCAGACGCATCTGTGGCAGAGTCAGCCCTCATGCCGAAGACCCGCACTTCAAATTTAAAAGTCTCAGGCGACGACACTTCTCGCTGCTGGCCTGCAAGGCAAAAGATTCCAGTGAGTGTCAACAACTCGAAAACGACCAAAGCCCGTTCTCTTGGTGCTAGTCAAACGCATCTCCTGCCCTGCCTGGGACGGTGCACCGTCCCACCAAGGCAAGCTGCACCACCTGGTGTCGGGACTGAGTGCATGGCAGGCTTGGAGTCTTTCAGGCTGTTTTCTGCATTTCTAGAGGCAAGGGTCCGCCATTGTCCGGCTTGCTAAAAATCTTACGATATTGTAGTTCGCGTTGTAGGGACTTCTCTGCACGAAGCCCATATTGCCAGAAACACCACACAGCTTCGCGCGAAGCTGAGTTGCAGCGAGTAGCAGTCGAGCTGATGGGCAAAGCATCTTCGAAACCACCCACTCTCCCATTCTGCTGCAGCCACAAGCAAGGGAAATGCGGTTGAGGTTAGAGGACCATAGAGGGCCCCAGAACTCTTGCGGGGGTGCCTGCTGCTCAGTGAGCAACGTGCAAAGGGTACGGTAGTGCCACAGATCTTCCAGCTGCTTTCAATTCCACATGGCCATCCTTCGGCACCTTTACCACCAACTCGTGTAATCCTCCTTGACTTGGCAAAGCCTTTGTCACAGGCGGTCATACACGAAATGCTCCCAAGCCCAATTCATCCTCAGATTCATCCCACCATAAGCTGCCATGAATCCAAGAAGGACATTCCCTGATCTCCCTCCCTGAATACGAACTAACCCGGAGCCTAAGACAGATCTATGACGAGCGGCTGCATGGGAGCGGCTGGATCTCTCATTTGCCGCTGTGGCGGCCACCTGTCTCTTCCAAGATTGCAGTAGGCCAAGAGTGTCCCAGGAAAGCTTACACAATAGGTTCTTCAAGGGGGTACAAAGACCAGTTGGAGGAAGCTGCCAGAAAGTCCCGGTGGTGTGGAGGCTCTGGATGCTGCTCCCGGCATTGTAGGACAATCCCTTGTAATACAACACCTCACACGACAGGCAACCCACTCCCCCAAACCTCCCGGCAACCTGTCTGAGCACGTCACATGTCGCTCCCGCGCAGCACGGCGCAAAAGGCTGTACACTGCAGACGCATCTCCTTGGCTCACAACAAGAGTCAGGCAAACAACGCGGCAGGGGCTGTAATTAGGATGGGCTATTCGAATTATTCCAAATCATGTAATCCTCCCTGGGTACGTTTCTGGTGGCCGGGTAGCCGCAATATGGAGAGAGAGAGAGAGCGAGAGAGAGAGCGAGAGAGAGAGAGAGCGAGGGAGAGAGCGACTATATAGCAAAACTGACGTCCTGTGTTTGAGGGATGTGTATGGCTTTGTAGGGCGTTGTGATGTTTTCTACTTTTCTGCTGTGTCACAGAATTTGTCACAGAATTTGGCGGTTCGTCAGTTTGGGGCATCTTCTGGATGAGGTTTGTGGGGACTGGATTTTGGGCTCATGTTCGGGATCTGTCTTGGAACCAGCCGGCAGGAGTGAACTGGAATTCACTGGACCGTGACGCGCACGGGTCTTATTTCGCAAAAGGGGTTGTAGAAAAGGGGCTCTTCTGTCATTACGCTGGCTGGGTGCAAACAACTTCTGACCCAACTAGAAGCGATCTCATCTCACAGAAAAGGCTGTAAAGCCCTCTTGTCACTTTTTTTTGCTCCAGCGCTGGCACACCAAAACACAGACCTTGGAAGGTCGCAGAGCTCCAGCCGACGGATGCTGGTGAGCAGGTACCGCGCCATGCCACCATGGAGCTACAGGGGTACATGGTCGCACTGTCAAGCACATCTGGCGCCGACAGGTGGGAGAAGACTTGTTGGACTTGGACGGAAGTGGTGAAAGGACTGGAGGAAATCTTGGATTTCTTGGGCCCATCATTTCCCACACTGCATACCAGCGATTGAAACCCTCAATGCCAAAGCTGGACAGGTTAGCTCTCACTCCTTGTGGTTCACCCTGGGAGAATCGGTGCACCGGCTGCCTCCAGATCCACAGCTTTCAACCAAGACTAGAACGCCCCAAGCTCCAATGAATGCGAAATGTTTTCCATACCACGCGAAGCCCAGGAACATGCACACACCTGGCCAGAAGATGTACCTGCTGCGCCCAGCTTGAACTTCTGCGTGACATCGTTGCAGGGCCGAAGCAATCCGAAGCACCTAGGGCAGTACATGAACTAAAGCATTCAAGCCATGCTCTGTTGTCTGAACAGGTCAAGTAGTTTAGTAATGGAAAGCAGCACTGCAGCAGAAGCGCGTGTTCGTGCAGACACGTTGGCTCTTCAGACCTGGCACGATCATCTCAGCAGAAAAACGAGGCAGAAAGCCAGTGTTCTCGGCACCCCTTGCTGCATTGCCAAGCATGTTAAAGGTACCAACTTGACATGCCCATCTTCTTACTCTGGTTGCGTTCATGACCTCTGGTCCCATCCATGCTTGGAGAGTTGTCGAGGTACATCTACGTGCCTTGTCGGCGTCAGTAGGAGCTGTCGATGTACTGGTTGCATGTGCAGATAGCTTCGCCTGATGCAGAACTCTTGCAAGAGATTACGTAGACCAGCCGTCTCGCTCCCCAGAAACTGAATTGTGCCGGGTTCGGCACCTGGCATTCAATCATTGAGCTGTTAACGCAAGAAAACCCGCAAGAACATTTTCTGCCTGGCTCTGGGGCACGGTGTTCCCTGCCGCATCCACCTCTTCGTCTTCTGAGGACTGACTTTCTTCCTGGCATGGCTTTTTGTCTGATTGAAGCAACGAGAATGTGAGCAGTTGCATTTGTCTCATTGCAACAACTAGACTGTGAGTGGTGGCAGCATTGGCTTGACAGTAGGAGTTAGTAGTGGCAGAATGTCGGAGGAGGACGACAACTAGCTGCAGCAGCTCCTCGCTGAGTGCGGGCGGTAGGGACAGGACGCAGGATTGAAAGACTTGCGGGCACCTCTTCGGATGGAGGTAGGTCCAGGTCTTGTGCTCGCCGTTCAGCAGCCTCTGGCAACAAAAGCGTCATCAAGCTTCAGCATACTCTGCATGTACATCGTCCAAGAGGCTTTGCGGAACTGACCGACAATCAAGTGAGAAGGCTGGAAATGCGGCGGATCTTACTGGCATTTCGGAATAGAGGTTACAACTCCGGCAAGGCTAACCAATGGGCTAGGGTGGAAGTCCAGAGGAAGACTTAAAGTCAAACCGTAAACCAAAGTGGGACTTCACCGGGAGGTGCCAACGTTACATTCTCTTTGTTGGTTTGCTGTCTGATCTATGAACGTCAAAGGTAACCCTGTCATTGACTATTGAGATGGAATCACTATGAATCACTCATAGGGACCCATTCTACCCTCAACTGCCAAGACCCACGCCAGCCTCGTCTCGCCACTTCTCGAGAAGTGCAGCTTCTGCACGCCCTTACAATGTTGCAGCACGCAAATTTTCTCTTTTGGACAGGGGAATGTAACTTGCTTTCAAAATGGTCGACGGCATGTCATTGCACTTCCAATTCTGGTGGCAGATCTGCCGACACTCGTATCGGCACTGGCTACTTTGGACGCACGTCAGGATCCTAAGTCTATGTATTGGGAATTGTCTCAGGGAGACCCAGGGAAATGGCTGGAGGTGTGATACAAATTGGCCGAGATGCGAAGGGCTGCTGCGTTCTTTGCCTCGCTGTAGACTTGGAAGGCTTCCTCGTTGAGTCTCAGGAACTCCTCGCATCTTAGCTGCACAAGGCCTTGGAATGGAGGTATGAGTCTGAAGCATCAAACTTAAACAAAGGGATCTAGGAAATGGCATGTTGCTGTTGACGTGGTGTGCTGAGCGGCGAAGCAGGGTAGAGCATGCATGAGCCCTGTACAAATGCAAGACCCTCAAGTGGATACGAGCTTTTGTGGTGATTTCTCCTCGCCCCAGCTGAAGGGCCGCAGCATGCGCTTGGCTTCTGCACGGAGGCCCACAATGATCAGCGCCTTGGGCCATGAGCTGGCGGAAGGCCTCAACATCAACCTGAGGGCACCTTGCGGTTTGCCTTTTGGGGGTTGCCGGGCCTGTTGCAAGTTTGCTGAGTTTGCTGGCTGCCCACGACGCTTCCTGGCTCACTGTTGGTGATACCGGGGTCAATTCTCCCGGCATGACTTCGCCTCTAATTAGATTAAAATCTTTGACCACCGCTCTAATGACCACACTTCCGTTCCATGCAATAGAAAACTGTATCCCAGCTGCCACCCGTTGCAAAACTGCACTTGCAGCTCGGCGTGATCAGCCAGACTTGACGTCACTCACCGAATGCCCTGAATCTTCATCGCTAGCATGCATTCTGCCAGGGGGGGGTCGCCGGGCAGTATACGCATGCTGCTCCCTTGCCTTTGCTCCAGGGAGGTTTTCCCTGCACCACAGGTGTACAAGATAATAGACACCATACTCCTTGCTGCAACATATAACTTAACCTTACAACACCCTGAAGCCTCAACCTCAAACCCCCTTGATGCAGAACCCTTACACTTAAACTTTTCAGCTAGGTCGCGGCAGCCATGGCCTCTGCAGTGTTCAGCTTGTTCGGCCGGCCTGGGGTGGGAGAAAATGATGCATCAAACAGCGCAGCATAGCACCCTCAGCACTCCCAACAATGAGAGTGTAAAAGCTGTACTATGATCCCCAGTTCTTGGGAGTTTGGGAAATGCCTCGCATGCGGCGGACACCGTAACGTCTGCACACAGTTTCCACAACTCTCTTGCCGCATCGATTCCATGTGAGAGCCACACTGATGTTGTTATTCAGGATGATCACCAGGACCGATAGCACATGAGCGCTGCTTCGGCCAAGGATCCATAATTCACAGTGTTGGCCGCGACAAGAAACGGTAGAATCCTGGGAAGCGCAGTGACAAGTCCAGGGTAGCCTCACGGCAAGCCTGTCCTTGCCTCCCAAGGTCTGTCTGGGGTTTGGGACAGACAAGCCATGAAGTGCAGAATGAAAACTCACAACCCTGGCCCTATTCAGCACAGCAGGCCGGCACAAATGCCAAAAGCCGAAAAGTCCTTCTGAGGCGCTTGCCTATGCTGGCTCTTCCGCGGAAGCTTTGCCCACGGGATTTCCTGACATTGGAATGCTGCATGACGAACTAAACAACATGCTTAGATCGCTTGTGGTGCCACAGGTCAAAGAAACTCCGACATGCAATAACGCTACGCTCAGCAGCCTCCACACAAGAAAGCTTCATCTTCCTGGGTCCTCAAGACTGTAGCTAACAGAACTGCAGCGTTGTTTTCTGGAAACTTCCACAACCCGGAAGGCCTCCAGCCGATTCCAGCTGCAGTTGACACCAGCAAGACCCGCCGTCCTGAGTCAAATGGCAATGCTGGCCCGCAGTCTGCATCGATTCAAGGCAGCGAAGGAGCTTTGAAAAAGAGGCCCTGGATTCAGGCCTAGCTACGATCCAATCTTCAACCAGTTCTACTAACTGCTGCTCTCGAGATACATTCTATTGCAGTAATGCTACTTGCAGACTGACGGCGGCAACTTATAACTGAGCTGTACAGCAGTAAGAGGCCAGAAGCAGAAAGAAAATGGAAGAAGCTCCCGGTAGTGTGTCCATGGTTCTCAATGAGCTTTCGATCGTCCGCAGACACAGGGACATCTGTCATGGTGCTCAGCACGACCCCTTGGAATCCAGCCTGGCAGAAAGGTCCAGCTCCCCACGTCAGGCCCCCAAAGTTCACATTCACGTTCTACGTGCTACATAGTCCCTGCATCTTCAGACTTGTAAGGCCTTTCGAAGCCCCTGCCAACCATGAGTACCCTAATGACAAATGCATGCTCACACCTACTCAACGCTTGGAGGAGTGCACTTTGAGCTGTGCTGAAGATACTTACGGCCTGCCTGCAACTGATTCTGTACGATCAAGCGCTACTTCAGCTAGTCACGAAGCACTGTGACTGGCTCGCTCTCTATCACTGGATCCCATGATCCCAGCTTGCAAGCCAAATTTAGGAACACTCCTGATTCGATCGCTGCCTGTGGCTTCAAGCTCTTTGCCAGGCCAAAACCTGAGTGTACAGCGCGTTTGCAGGTGATCCGGATGAAGGCTTCGAGTTGCTTATCAGCAGGGCAAAGCTCCTGAGAAGAATCGTTACCCAAACCCAGACATCCTGTTATCAGGCAACCGCCCTCTACCTGCACCCGCTACGCGGAAAAAATAAATAAAGATGAGCGACGGCACAACCGCACACCGGAGTCCATCTTTGGGTCGTTTTGTCCTCAGCAACGAAATCTCCAACTTGGATTTGGCAAGGCCTCATTAAATTGAGAGAAGTCCCAGGTCCTCGATTTGGCTGTAGTGGGCAGAGGTTGTTAGTCCAAATGAGCTTATGGATGAGTGGCATGATTGGTTGGTGCCGAGGCTATTGGCAGCACGCAGTCGCTATCATTCCTATTACGCCTATGTCACGTTGCCTTGCTCTTCTGCAGCCTGCGATCCCCATTAGCTTCATGCTGCCCACATTCTGCATCCAACTTTGCGCTGCGAACCTGTGAACCGGAACGAAGACTCTCACGCCCATCAGCATCCATCATGGCAATGCAGAAACTTTCTCAAAGGGTTTGCTCATAGGAAGTCCATGAACACATGACTTTGAACCACTTCTACTTCTAGTACACCTATGAAACGATGTCTCTAATGCCACCACCGCAAGTACCTACTACGTAATGCTACCACCGCAGGCACCAGAACCACAACCACCACGAACACCCCTGCTGAGTATTACTGTTGCTACCGCTCGCTTGGCATCCCGCCAAACTCGAACAGCACCAACTTCGCTTTCGGGGCGCCTTCCTGCCAGGGCTGCATATCGACTGGAGCCACCGGCCGCTGCACTGACATCAAACCACTCGACAATAAATACTCAAATACTGTAACGTGTTTGCAGAATGTGGAACATCCTGACTGTACATGTGGTCTCTCAGTGACAAGTTCCTTTGCAAGGGGACCTGTGGAGACAACTCTCTCGTGTTTTTCTTGCATGTCGGGGACCCCAGTCGTAAGAAGAATAATCTTTTGCAACTACACTGTTTCAAGCGCGCTGGGAGGATCGATCTGGACTATACTGGCACGGGATCCAACAAAGTGGACATTCAAAATAGGTCTCGCAAGAAAAGCCATAGACCCATGATCTTAGCAAACTTCGCAAAGCTGGAAGAGCTATTAGGATGCCTTTGAAGCTCACAAAACCCCAGGTCACTACGCGTGGATACCTTTCAAATCCCTTTCCCCTCACATTTTGGCCTCCTCGCTATCCTCCTGTAGCCCGGACTCGGCGCCCTCGCTGCCAGACTCCTGCAAAAGAAGCACATGATCCCCCCTGCATGCCGTTTCCGAAGCACACCACCTAAAGCGCTCTCCTTCTGACCTGTTGGGGTGCTCAAGATACTGGTATGCTGGGTGATCGTTTCGTTCTCAGACTATGAAACGAGAAGCTTTTGCATCTATTGCGTTCTCTCAGATGCTGAGATACCATCCGGCTCTACTTGAATGAGGATGGCGGAGGAGCTCCCCAAACACAGGATGTCGCATGGACTCCTGTTCTAGTTGCAATTGACATGGGATCATGGCCCTGCATTTCAGGCTCTGTTTGTTGCTGACAGCCTAGCCCCCAGCTTCTTGCTTTCAACAATCCAGAATACAGCATGCGAAGCGCTGATTTCACTAGACCCAGCCCCACCCCTCGCCTCCTCATCGCTGGATGCATGTGGGGCAGTCTCAGGGTAGCCACCTTCTGTCCTGCAAACGCTCTTGTGGTATAAATCTCATGGCCCTTCCTCACTTCTTCACTGGAGCTGCAAGAGGTCCTGGCTTCTGCGCGGCCCTTGTGCCGGCCTGGCTTGCCTCACGCTTCTAGACGTCTTTACTGAACAGCAATGCCCCTTTAGGAGCCCGTTCCATGCTAATACTTTGACGGGATGCCCCAAAGCTCTGAAAAAAGGTTTCCAATGCCCAAGGCCTTTGCCACGCCCCTTTGCATCGGGCCGGCCGCGCGGCATGGCGGTCCAAGCGGGGCTCAAGCAGCTGTGCGCGGAGTGTTCAGGTCGAAACTTTTGAAGTGCAGGGGCCACCAGCTGCGCTGATGGTTGGGATGTGTTTGGTGCCATCATCTCATCGATTGACAGAAATCAGTCTATATTCCGCCTCCAGATTGACCCCTGCTAAGTTAGCTGGCTGAACTGCTGCGGTACAAGTCGCCACCCAAGAATGCGCGAAGCTCCGCAACATATGACGGAACCCAACCCCGATCCAGGTTCAATCCTAAATCTGCACTCAGAGCAACGCAGCCCAACCTGAACCAGATCCCATCCGTTACTTGCACTCAGAATATCCCAGAACAGTGCATCCCGGGACAGCTGGCGTGCAGCTGAACCAGCAGCTGAACATTTTCCCAGCTACCACGCTGTTGTCATACATAGCCATGTAGGCGCACAGACTTGATGCTGCTTCTCCGGTTGAGAGCATGGGATTTAGTGAATTTAGTGCACAGCCATGCTGCGTCAGATGATGTCATGTGCTTTCCAGCTGTAGTGCCCGTCATTGCGGGCAGGCTGCGCTCACCCGCCGCCTTTCCCAAGGAACAGATGCTTGATCGAAGCTTGTCTGTCGAGGTGTTCCACGTCCAGTTTCTACCATGGTCCCCTGCCACGCGAAGAGGATGAGCTTTCGATGGTCAGGGAGCAGGCAGCCTTCAAATCAGGTACATGTGGCGAATGCTTGTGCAAGTCACCAAAAAATTCTGCGGACATGCAGGCGGACGAGCTGAGAAGCGTAGCACCAACACTTCCTTGCCATGCCCCATGCAGCTACAAAAACCTTTCATGGGTTGAATGCTCGCCGAAGTGCCGGAGCAGCACGGGTTCAAGCTTCGGCTGCCACCACTTCTCAGAGAAGGCAGGCATGGAGTGGTGCAGCCAATCCAGCGGCGCAGTATCAAAGTTGGCTTCAAGAAAATCCAAGTAGGACCGCAGGTGCTTGCCATTGTACAGCAGTGTGCCGCCCCCGCCCCAACCGGCTGTTCCCCAAGCCCATGTGGATCTGTTGGCATCTCGTCGGAAGCCCAACAGCCTCAACACTAGCCAATCCTTGCGCTCACCGTGCTGCCGCAACCAGTCTGTGAGAAGGCTGCCGAAGCCCGGCAGCAGCTCCACATCCTCTTCGAGCCAGAGCAGGTGATGTGTAGTCGCTGTGGCCTGGCTGGTGAGGACAGCACTCGCAGCTGCTATAAAATCAAGTACGAGGCGAGATCTCCAAAGCACCTTCTCCTGTGAGTCGCCATAGGCATTCTTTAGCTTGGAGGGATCTTTGAGTTGCTTGTGCTTCCGTCTGGCTTGGAAGCGTGTAGCAAGTGGTTTCAGGTGCTGAAGGGCTATTGAGCTCGCCTCACCCTTCTCCCCAAAAACAAGCACCTGTAATGTCTGATTCGCCAATTCTTTGACAAAAGATGGCACCGACCGCTGCACGTAAGTAACCTCAGCCGAATGCTTTCGATGGA